CATACACAAAGGTCCGTGCCACATTAGAGTGCAGCATGCACATAGCCATCTGATTAAGTTGGTTGGCTTGTCGATGTAAGCCAGACTGCAAGCCCAATCTTCCTATCAAGCTCTTCGTTGTAATCTCAGCTGTGCTGATCTGTCCTTAGGGCTTGCAATTCCGGAAACCGCGCAGGCATCTTATCCATGTTTTTCCATACCCTTGTTCTACTGCTGGTGTTAATCCACAATGATGACGCCAATGCTTCACCCTTTCCCGCCTTGCCAACGGAAGAACAGTGGCATTCACTCGACGTTGTGCCTTTGGATGCCATGCTGCTCTAACCCTCCTGCTTCAGTCTTGCTGTCTGCTCCAGCTACGCTGTTCCTCAAGCTCTCCAGATATCGCTTACTGCAGGTCGCTGAGCTTGCAGCCTTGGCCTTTGTCCCGCCAGTGCCGCTGTCATGGACAACGTACGCTTGGCTGGGCTTGCTCATTTTGCATTTGCATGCCAGCTGTGTGTGCAGTGTGCTGTGAGAGGTACCACGCCTCCCCGCACTCGTTCCACACTGGGTATTCAGGCAAGCCTCCCGAGCTGCGATAGCTTCTGATTCCGTGCCCTCAACTGTGAAGGTCAAGATCCAATGACGCCCCTCCGCATCCTGGATCCGGTCAGCATCAGAAAAGTACTCACGTTGGTCTTCAGTACAACCAATCGGGCAGGTTGACTTGCTGGTTGACTCAGAACGTTGGACGAACGAGCCCATAGCTGAGGGAGGGGAAGTACAACAACTGCATGATATGCTGTTCGTTTGTGGGCACTTAGCGGAGGGCGCTCGAGCCGTGGTCGCCCATGCCAGCTCCTGCTGGAGCCGACTGGAGCACGGCGGAGACCGAGACGTCTTGGGAGGATGCCTGGGCTCCGCAGTTCTGCCAAGGCAGAATCTTTCGTGAAGGATATTGCAGGACTAGAGGTACTTCACCTCGTGAAGTGTTGGATCTATCACAGAAGAGAGAGAGAGGCAAGGCTTCATCCTCCTTGGACAGGTGATCCACCAGTCATCACTGCCACATCGCAACCAGTCATGGCTTGCGTCCCGCCTGACATCTCGAGCACCACCGGGCCCCTGCTACTCCGACCTTCAATGCCCCTTACACTTGCTTTTGTCATCGTCCACTACAGTACACATCGCCTCATCGTCTTTGCCACCATGAGTATCCGGAGGAAGCCTTCTTTTGCTTACACTAAAACTTATACTTTCGCAGATTTCCACTTTTTGCTTAATTTACTTGCTTTTTGATTTTTTTTTTCTTCTGTGCTCCTTCTTGCTGTCTGCTTGTTTGGCTTGCTTTCAGCTATTTGCTTACGGCTTGTTGTTTGATTGTCTATCGGTGTGCACCTGTCTTCCACTGCTTTTTGCTTCTTTTTGCCTGTTGTTTTGTTGATTCTCGTTTACTGCGTTGCTTCCTAACTGCTTCTGCTCTGGGCCACGCCTTGGCCTTGGCCCTCGCCCATGGGATTCGCACTGTGCCAAGACACTGTGGCAGTTGGCGGAATGGCCCAGAAAAACAGCAAGTCCTCTCAGACTTATCTAAAGCAACTCATGAATCGCAGCAAACTCCACGAGATCCAAAATCGATTCCTCCCCTCTTCCACCTTAACCCACCGCGCAAGACGTCATGCTTTTGCCTTCACTTGGCATGGCTGCCTTGCTCCCTTCAAAAGGCTCATCATGTTGAAGGGACGCTGCAACGGTTTAACAGGAAGGTGCAAGCCGCGTGGTGTGGCCAAGCCAATGCAAAACCTTGAAACAATCCTTGAGGGTTTGAGGAGAGGGCTGTAAGGGAATTCGCCGTTCCAAATTCAGAGGCTTGCAGTTTTGTAGCTGCAATTTGAAGTTTAAACGCTCCTAATTTGTAGTTTTGCAGTATAGTGAACCTCTGAGGAGTTCCAAATGCCTTGCATTTGAAGCCTTCCAGACCCGGTATTTGGGGAATTCCTGGAAACTTAACCCTAGCGAAACACCCCACTTATGCTTCAAATCGCATCCTTCTCATGGCCAGATTGGCACTGCACAGAGGCCAGAATCATCAACATATTCTGAGATCATGATTGTCGTCGGTGGTCGTCCTCCGCATCATTTTCATCATTAGCCTTGTCATCATCAGGATGCATGGCTCCGACTTTCCAGTCAATCTTGCTCTCAACCGCACTCGGCGCTCTGTTATGAATGCGTAGGCTCTTGCTTTGCAACTGTATGTTCTCAATCATTCTCGATCACCGGGCCTGCCCCTCAATTTGACGGCCCTCCTTGGACAGGTTCCTTCAATTGAGACTGGACCGTTTCGAGCTAGGCAACGCTGGAGATGCCTTGGCAATCATTTTTTATTTATCTTCCGGAGGTGCATTGGGCCCCCGGAACTCTGCTTTGGCAGTGGAGGCGGCTGTACTGTAGGAGTTATTCGCAGCGCCAATGTTCTGACTTTGTTAAGCGGTCAGGAATTTGGTGCCTTGGTTTTTTGGTGCGAGCTTTCACGTCCGCTGAGAGTCTTGTAAGTCTTCACACGCACTCTACCTAGGAGCAGACTTGAGGGAAGTCACATGATGTCTTGCCAGCTGTGCGTTTACCTGGAGACTCTCAGTGCTTTCCCAACTCTCCTCTCTCCATGATCTGTTGTCCTTGCATTTACTCTTCGGCTTCCTCTCCCTCTACATTCTACATTCCTTTCTCCTTTTCCTCTGTAGGCTTAGCTAAAGTTCAACCGAACACGGTGGTGCTCCTACAGGTGAGCCTTCCGACGCATGTAGTTTTTTTGATCACGAGCTGAATCTCAGCCCGTGGAAAGTGCAATCGAAGCAACAGCTATGGAACATCTCCAAGTTACTTACGTTGAATAGCCTTGCTTTGCTTGCAGGATTCAATGCTTTGTGGACTGATGCACAGAGAGAGTCCGAGAGTGCCTTTGAAAGTCATCGTAAATTACATGGTCTTGAGATCGGCAGCGGCACGTGGGTACTCTGTGCGGGTGAGAGACTGCAAGGGGTGCATGCAGGCGGAAAAAGGCACTCAAGCTGAAACTTGTGCCCATGGTTGGGCACGCATGCTTGTCAAGAAGTATTTGGGCCGCAGCGTGGCTCGAAAGCAACGCTTCTGCCTTTGTAATGGGGCTGTTGAAAGTGCCCTGCGCTTCTGACCCATCCAAGGAGCCAAAGGCAGATTTTTCTTATTGGCCGGGACTGGCTGATAGGTTCTAGCAAATACTGATAACATGGTCTGCAGGTCCTCTTCTTGCAAAGGCGAGTGCTCCCATGGCTTCCAAGGGCGACGCAAAGGCCCTCCCCCTTGTTCAGGCTGGCTGTATGACATGATTCCATGGCAGGAGAAGGTGAGATCCAAGAAGACAGACTCCAAAAAAGAGGGCTCCAAAGCCGAAAAGACTGGCAAAGCCAAAAAGGAGGGCGGCAAATCAAGAAAAGCCGATGCGAAAGAAAAGTCCAAGACGGGCGTGAAGTCTGACGGACCTCGCAGTTTCCTCAGAATTTCTCGGCTTATTGAAGATAGTCTACGCCAGGGCTGTACAGAGGTCGGAAAGATGCCCAGCGCAGCCAGGCACGGGGCTCATAGCTGTCGGGTTGATTTGTCGTTGGCGTTGCCAAGGCCGAGGAAGAAGCAAAAGAGCGCAGAGATGCCGCCACGGCCGCTGCAAGGAAGCGGAAAGCCGAGGACGTGGGGCGCCTTGACGCTTCACAGGCTGTGCTGCGGTCAACAGAACTTCCTGCTTCTCTCAGGGCAGCACCAAGGAGAAAAAGAAGAAGCATAGGAAAGACAAGGAAACTCCTAAGTCCAAGGCCTTGCAACATCATTTTTGCATCCAAAGCTTTGTCTTCCCGATTGTGCAGGAGCCAGCCGATGCGGAGGAAGCCCCTTCGGCCGACCATCGGCGAGTTCAAGGCGGAGCTGCAGACGCCAAGCAAGCGAAGCAAGCGAAGCTTGCAAGCAATGGTGCAGAGAACGGCCAAGCTGGCCAGAAGCCTGCAGAGCCTTTGAGACGCCAAGCAGCCAACGGAGCCTGCGCAGCAGAAGCATTGGATGGCGAGCTGCCCGAGCTGCCCGAGCTGCCCGAGCTGCCCGAGCTGCAAGCTGGAGGCGCCTCGGGCAGCATGCCCTCCAAGAGCCGTTCTCCAAAAGCAAAGGATCCGAAGCAAAGCAAGGAGAAGGCAAAGCGAGGCTCCGGCGACAGTGTGTCGGACTACGACAGCGAGAGTGTCACTTCTGGTGCCCGACGCCGGAAGCGCCGGGAAGAGGCTGGCTTAAAGGCTGCCTCAGGATTTGGGCTGGCACCGCGACAGCCTGAGCTTCGCATCATGCTCGCTTCTACAGCCTTCTGGATCTCTAAGAGTCTAGTCTAGGCCTCCGCCAGCACCGGCTGATGCTCAGCCCTTACTCCAGCGTAGTTCTAGTGTACTGAAGGTAGACGAGTGTCGCTGGTGACTTGCCGTGCGTCTAATGTGTGGCAAGCAAGGCCAATGGTCCCGTCATGTGAGCCTGCACTTCAGCGCCTGGGACAGGAAAGGACGGTTCGTCTGGTTGCCAGGTACGGTCCATCTAGTTTGGTGCCTTTGCCAGACAAGGCCCGAGTCCATGCTTCATGCAATTGTAAGTCTCTACCACAGATCTGGGCAGGTCAAGGGACTGTTGGAGCACAAGGCGCGCAGTCGGATTCACGGAAGGAGTTCTGCTGTTTTGGCCGCAAGGACTCCCTAGCACAGGAAGTGCTTCGAATGAAGATGGCCGTTGAGGCACATGGGAGGACATATTTGGTGGAGTCGTCCTCCCGTCTCGGCTGTAGGCCGCAACTGGGCAACCCAGTGCGAAAGTGGAAGGTAAGGAGGAGCCAGCCGAGACAGTGCGCCATCTATGAGACGAGACCCCACGCATGCATATACATGTACTGCATGTACAGCACCACGGTTCGCGTGGAATTGTGTGCCAGACCTTGAAGATGCCGACGCGGCTCACCGAGTGCTTGATGGATCCCGCCAACCACGCGAAGCTGCTCGCCAAGACGGGCCTGCTTTCTGCCACCCTCAACGAGGAGAACAGCTTTTCACAACTCTCCATTTTTTCAGAATTATCTCCTTCTTTGAGAGCTCTTCTTCCATTCTTCCTCAACAGGAGCGGCATCTGGTTCTGCGGGCCCCGTCTCCCACCCGCCTGAAGAAGACACTGGGCCACCTGCGCCGCATTGCGTGGGGGCACCCAGGCATGCTCAGACACCAGGGAACCTGCAAGTCTGCCACCTGTAGGTGGGCCTGCCAATGGGGTTGCAGCACTGCGAAGGCACGCCGAGAGGTATGTGTACTTGTGCATGTATAATGCGCGTGTGCAGCTGCAGCTTTGTTGCGAAGTCGGGAGGTTTTCGCCCTGCTTGCAGAGCGTCCTGCATTGAGCTTAGTTGGGCATATCATAAAGTAGCTACATGTGTCTCTATTTGTCTGAAGTGTTGACTCCTGTTTCTGCCAGCCCGATAGGTATGCGCATGAAGGGCACAGCTGAGGCCAAGCCGCTGAATTCCATTGTGCTCAGACTTGCTGCTACTTCCAGTCGCCTGTCATCTCACGATGTCGGGGCCCCACATTCTCTCAGGCAAACTGCCTCAAGGGCTTGTTTCGAGGCAAAGCTGAGTGCCAAAATGCGCAAGCTGCGCATGGGCACGCAGGCCGCTGCCTGACTGGAGTGTTGCAAAGCTGAGCTCAGTCTGAGCTCTTGCAAAGGCAGGTCCTGGTATGCTGGTGCTTGAGGGCATCACGGGGCTCTCCCGAAAGCACTGCCGAAGCCTCGGAGACAGGACATGCGCCCGGGGTTCACGAGCTTTCATTGCCCAGGCACGATTACCTTTGAGCCAGATAAAGGTGCATGCTACGTGCAGGACTCTTCTGCTTTGCAGGGTCCAAAAGATGGTGGAACTCATTGACTTATTGTCGACCATGGACTGCAAAGGATGTCTCCACGAATGGCACCTATCTCAACGGCAAGCGACTTCCCAGACCACCCTACAAGAATCCTTCGGAAGCTCGTCATGACAAGCGTGACAGATCTTTGACATGTCAGCAGAGTTCTGAGGATGCTCGCGTGCGGCTTTTTCATGGTGATGAGTTGCTATTCAAGCGACTGCCACAGGGCCCTGTCGGTTGAAGCTGTTCTCTTTAATAACTGATGACTGGTGTGATGTCTGTCAGGTTACGCAGCGAGGATGCAGAGGAGTTGGGATACGTCCAAGCCGCAGCTTGCTACCTTGTGCTGAGGCATTGAATGCTACGGGTGCTCTTGTCTTGTTAGGTCATCAACCTGGTCGAACTCAGCTGAGACGTGTCTCCCAAAGACAGAATGTTATGCAGCGAGGAAAGTGTTCTGCATCGCACGCATGCAGTGTACATATTCCGGGATTACTTCTTCAGACGCTGGTGCAAGATGAGTGGGATGAGTGGCACAGGTCCAAACTGAGGCTCACAAGTGGCAGCACAAACATGACAAGACCATCCCAGAGCCTTCAAACCCTGGTTCAACCTCACCAGCCCATGTAGCTGCATGTGATCAGCTTCAAAAAGTTTCAAGAGAAGCATGCTTCCGCTGCCGCGCCCACCTGCTAAAGTCAGCAGGAAGGGGAAACATGCGCAGCGCACTTTGCCTGACCCGCAGTTCTTTGTATTTGCACAGCTGGCGCTGGGGGATCTGGTATGCCCAGGCTGGATGCCACCGACCTTCCAGCCCCGGGCTTCGTGCAATCCTTCTGCGCCAGCCAGAAGCTCTCAGAGGCTTTAGCAGCCGATCGGCTCTCCAGTGCAAATGGACAGGCAAGAACATTGCCTTGTAACCTTAGTAAGCTTGGGCCTCATTCCTTCGGTGTCTTGGGTTCTGGTGCGCAGGCGGCCTACTTGAAGAAAAAGCCGCGCTGGCTTGTTTATGGCGTATGGCAGGCGGAGATTGTTGCAAACAAGACCTAGCCAGGCAGCAGCAGCTAGCATACGTTGAAGAAGCTCATCGCCGAGAGCAGCCTCCCCTGGAAGCTATCGCGGCCCCAGAGATTTTGCGTGGTGAGCTGCAGGGCTCTCAGAGAAGTTGTTGTACAGTTATACAGTTATGATCTTTGATGTACGGCCGGTTTCAGGAGGCGGGATGCCGTGTTCCACCATGGAGCTGCAGGAGTTCCAGCCATTTGGCAGAAGAGCTTTTGCATGATGTGACCTGCCGCAGTTCGAAGTCCTTTCCAAGGCCCCGATGACGGGTGCTGCTGCGTTGGATATTGGTGATCTTCGCGGCGGATGCATTCCCATGGTGAACGTGGGCAACGAAGCATTAGCATTTCGAGAGAAGCGCTTGGAAGGACAGAAGGATTTCCTGGCTCGGCGGAAGGCAAGGCATGATGCGGCAATTGCAGAGTTCGATCAAGCCATGGACGCACTGGCTGAGGACAGCCAGAAAATGCATGATGTTGCATGTGCCCTCCAAGGCTCTCTCTCTCTCTCTCTCTCTCTCTCTCTTAGCGGGAGAGCCTTCTCGCTGACCTCGCTTCCTCGCTTTGACTTCTCTTTTGTCTCACTTTCTCGGCTCTCTCACAAGTGTCCATCCTTACCATCCTTTCCTCTCCTGGGCATTGCGCCATCGACGACTAGTGAAGAATGTCCTCTCCTCAGGACTGCCAGCGGGAAGTGGAAGCAGCGACGGACCGAGTGAAGAGAGATCTTGCAGCGAGCGTGTTGGAATGCAACGCCATTTTGGAGCCTTTGGAGCCGCCGGCGCTGCCGCCAAAAGCGGAAGGTGAAGCGGAAGAAGAGGAGGATGAAGCCAAGTTGCTCGATGAGCTCGAAGACTTGCCCATGGACGGCACGATAGATCCAGCCAAAGCTAAGGCGGTGGCAGCGGAGAATGCTGCACGGAAGGCGCTGCGCGTGCTCGGAGAACGAACCGAGGGTGAGGTGCGTGGCATTCTCGCGGCCCTGGAGGCGCAAGACACACACCATGCTGCTAACGAGCTTACGTTTGCCTTGTGTTCTGTTGATTGCAACAGGCATATTGTCCCACATGACAGGAAAGGCCGTCGAGCGTGATAGCAAATCTTACTGTGACTGAACCTTCTTGGATTGCTGGATGTGATCAGTTGCTCCAGTTGTATAAGGGACTAGATGAAGTTGTATCTTCTTGTGTAAGTCGTATGGCGCCGCATGTGAGGTGCGTAGGCAGCGATTTCGAAGCGGTTGGTTACACGGAGGTCTTTGGATATCACGCTTCTCACGCCGGGGGAGCTCTGGGGTATGCTGGGGTATAGTCCTGAAGTCTTTGCAGTGTCGCTGTGCCCAGAGACGAATATCGGAGCTGCTCAGCTGGATGGTCATCCAGTAGGAGTTTACATTCGGAGTGTTTCAACGGGAATCTGTGCAGAAAAGCAGCCATGGGGATCTCCAGGAAAAATGATATGACTTGTGTGGGTCTCCATGACAAATTACAGGATATGTTTGTACTACGGGAATCTAAAACTGTAAAATGAAAGGAATTTCTAATCTTCATGTAACATAATAGGTTCGTCATCGCAGTACCCGTGCGCAGCTTCAAATCCAGTTGGCGCAGGATCCTGTGCTTAACATTGTTCGTGCTGACTTGTGCGTTTCCTCTTCGCCCGAACCGCGCTGCCGTGCCTGTCGCCGTCTGTTTCGCCGCAAGTTGCCGATCGTCAGCTCCTTCCGTCGCACTCAGGCCGTGGAAGATGCCCGTAGCGGCGACCGTTCTAGCCGCACGCATCAGGTCCTCCTGTCTTCTTTGGGTGTTCTTGACAGTGTTCCACCCACCGCTGATCGCACGGCTTGGCCTGCAATCATTTCTGAGCACATCCATAAGCGTGCGGGATGTAGGTCCCATCTTGACTTTGCCTCTTGCCGCTCTCATGCATGCTCGTGCACGGCTCAAAAAGGGTAAGCAGGTCGGGGGCTTTCATGGTGTCGCTTCCGAAATGATCCTCGCGCTCCCTTACCCTGCGCTCTTGCATCTTCGTTCCTTGTTCCAGGATCGGCTCAATGCTTGCCCGCAAGCTGCTGCTGAGGTTGCTGACTGGAGGCACCTTGTTCTTTGTTTTGTGGCTAAGTGTACCAAGCCCACGCTCACCAAGGAATTCAGCCCTTTGACTCTTCCTGCTGCCCTCCAGAAGCTCTATCAGACTGCCCTCGTTGCGCTGCTCAGGCAATGCACGCGCCCCCTGATCACTCAACAGCTTGGCTTTCAGCCAGGCCGCCACCCCTTTGAAATCATCTTTGTGCTTACTCAGCTCATCGTTTGGGCTGATGAATGGAGAAAACCCCTCATCATTGCTGTTGCCGACATTAAGTCCTGCTTTGATTCCCTGCAGCATGATGTCCTCTATGAAGCCCTCTGCTTCGCAGATGTACCCCTGCCTTTGCGGGTGGCCCTGCTTTGCAAGGTGGTTCACAATCGTGTTGCCCTTGCCTCCATGGCCGGTCAATCCGTTCAGCCTGATGTCCGACTGCTTCAGGGAGCTAAACAAGGAGGCACTGGCACGCCCGAGCCTGCTACGTGTTACCAGGACTTCCTCCTCAGCTCTCCTGTGCTCTCCTGGCAGGTGGATGGCATCGGTGTGGACTTATCTGATGGGGGCATTTGCTACACGCACTCCTGCTGGGCTGATGATTGCAACTTCGCTGCGCATGACTGGGGTTCCTTGCGTCGCATGCTTACGGAGGCAACTGATGCCATTGAAAGAGGTGGCCTGCGCTGGAAGCCCGATTCCTGCGTCATTCTTGCCAACTCTTGGGCCCGCGAGCTGCCGGATGCCCCCACGACGCAAGGCCTCTCTATTACTGCCACGTCTGGTAGGCATTATGTCTTCTACATGCGTCAGTCGCTGACCCTGTTGGGGGCTCTTTTGCAAATGTCCCGGCTTGGCTCGGAGCTTCTTATGCAGCGCCGCTCCAAAGCGGATCACCATTTTGGGGATCGCTGGCGGCAATTACTCTGCCCTAAGCTGCCACCCCGTGTTCGTACCATCCGGTACTGTGACACTGTTGCTGCCACTTTCACTGGGACTTGTCAGGCTTGGATTCTTACGCCGGCTCTTCTGGCCCAGATCAAAACGCGGGATTTCAAGCATGTTCGGTGGATACTTGGTCTCTTCCCTCTGGCGGATGAGAGCTCTCGTGCGTACCTCTTACGTTCTGCCACTGCTGTCCGTCATCGCTTGCATCACTGGAGCCTGCCTTCTCTGCTCGTGCGTGTTCTTCAGATAAATATTGGACTTGGGCTGGCCATGTTTTGCGTATGGACTCCACTTCCTTCCAGCATCGCGCGGCCCTCCTTTCTTCCCGCCAGTGGATGTGGTTGCGGGCTGTTGGTGAGAACATGGACCCTCAAAACTCTCAGGGCTGGCGTCATCCTCGTGCTGGCCGTCGCTGCCTTGCATGGGATGCCTGGATTTGTCGCTTTTTGCAAGATCACGATTGGGTGCGTTGTGCTTCGGATCGTGCTGCTTGGAGGCGCCTGCTGCCTTTTTTTGTCTCTTTTGTGTTGTCCGCCTTGCATGTTCATGTGCCGCTGCAAGGCCAGCTTCATCTGCACCGTGAGGGTTTCAGCCTTCTGGCCCCTGCCTCTGATGTGGCCATCCTCAATGCATGTGTTGATGCAATCAGGCGCCCTTTGAATCCCATTCGCCTGACGCTGTTCGTGGTGGGTGACAGTGCCGATGTTGCGCGCTGGGTTGCTGGTGAGGCTCAGCTTGCTACTCCGCACATGTCTCGTCTCTTGCATGTTGTGTTGGATTCCTTGCTCTACTTGCATCAGTCTGGTCTTGAGTTCCGAGATTTCCATCATGCCGCAGGCACGCGTTTAGTGTCTCATTTGCGTGGCATAACTCCGCTGCTGATGCCTTGGCTAACGCTGGTGCTGATGGACATACCCTCGAACAGTTTGATTGGCCTGCCATCGGGACCTTTGGGTGCCCTTGCAACCTCCTGCTCTCTTTTGATGGTGCCGCCCGCGGCAATCCTGCTGGTCACGCTGGGGCTGGCTGTGCTCTTTGGATCGCCGCTGTTATGCCTCATGGTCAGAATGCTGCTTGGCGCTGTGATGTTCAGGCTTGAGCCTATCTGGGGATGCTGTCCAACAACTCGGCTGAGATGTACTCTCTTCTCATGGCCCCTATTTTGCTCATCAAGTTCTTGCCAGCTGTCGGAAGGGGCAACTAGCAGTGCAAAGCTTTCGCCTGTTTAGTGCAGTTTGAACTGAGCATGGGCTGACGCATGTACATTCAAACTGAGCTTAGCTGTCTTGACGGCTTCGTGCTCTTGAGTATGCGTAGTGCAGTCCGGCTTGAGCAATATGTGTAGTGCAGTCCGGCTTCAGCTGGAGAATGAGCTGACGCACGGTACTCTTCTTGCATGTTTGCTTGGTCTGCGTATCTTTTTGCACGTGATGTGGCGGACGGTGCATGCTGTTTACTAGAGTGCTGCCCGCGTGCTGATGTGAGTGAAGGCCCTGACCTGCTCAGTGCGGGATGCTGGAGGGTTGCAAATGTAACATGATCGGAATGCTTCGCGGGGCATTGACTTCCCCCACATGCCATGATTTGCGTTACTGGCTAGCGATGCTCAACTAGCGATGACACCCAGATGACTTCATTACTTCAGGCCTGTGGCGAGCTAGTGATGTTCTCTGCTTCAAAAGAAGATATGCCGCAGGCTGCCACACAGTTGCGACGGCAGCGCATCCAAGCCTTCTCCGGCCCCAGCGGCGAGCTGGCGCGTATCGATGACTTGCGGAAATCCAGCGCAGAGGAGCTATTGAAAAAGTTAGTGGAGGCAGATGTGAAATGGGCTTTCTGCGGAGTCCACCCTTGCTGTGTTTGCGGAAGGCTTTGACGGCTGCTGCACATGTTGTCCATGGCGAAGCTGAACGATTGGTGGAAGAGCGTGCTCGAAGCCTCAGTTTCCACATCACGCAAAACGAATGCTTGTCGTCTGGCATCTTAGGCGCTATCTTTCAATGAAATCTTGCTGGAGAATCGGCTCAACACTCAATGTGAAGCACATCCGGTGCTGGATGAGACATTGCAGCGCGGGATAGCTGAGGAAATCGATGCAGCAGCTTAGTGCGAAACTTACTGCCCGAACCTCAAGCTTAGTGCAGTCAGATAAGACCTCTGATCATCTTTGCTTTGCCGAAGGTTCAAACCCTCGAAAACAGCAAGGAGTACAAGGCAAATGCTACTCGTATGCCCTTCGAAGCAAGACCTGACAAAATGCTCAGCAGGTGCGATGGCATAAGGGCCTCCTTCTGTGGAAGCAGCAGCGGTGTCGGTCTCAGATAGCTGTGCCACCATTCCATGACACGGAGAATTGCTGTAAGGCAAGCCTTGCGCCCTGCATGTCATGGAGTGCTCTGCATGAGGCATCGGCATAGCATGGCGGTTGTCATGCGCCGTATCAAAAGCTGGGCTCCTTACCTGCCCACACGCCTGTGTTCCAGCCAGCAAGCAGAGACCAGCGCAAGTGCCGCACAGGTAATGAGTTCCGGCAGCCTGAGTCGCTGGTCGAGGCACTTCGCATCCTGATTCTCGAGCGTTCTCGGGGGTTTTCAAGTGATTTCGAGCGCTTCTGAGCATGCAAGCGTGCGCTGCCGGCATGCATCGGTGGCCAGGCTGTTGGCAAAGTTCGCGAGCACCAGTCGTATGTGTTTAGACAGCGCAAAGATCTCATTGACGAGCGGCGCCCTATGCAGAGGGCAGATAGCAGCTTGGGCAATTTGCGAGTCACAGAGATGTGCTGAGGCTGTTTGCCATTCCACAGCATCGGCTGATTGTGGTTCCACCACTCAGCCGCGTCAATCGTCAAGTCATTTGGCATGAGATTTCAGATTTGTTCGACCTTGTTTCAGGCTGCAGTGCGTCACATCGAGGAGCAAAACACACAGCTGAATGTGGAAGCCTCATTGCCGCCACGCGGTTGTATGCACTTGTCAGAGCTCTGTGGTCTCAGGATCGAGCTCAAGAGACTTTCGACACGCTGTTGGTGGAGCTGCGGGAGCTTCGAGAAGCCCTGAACGTTGGAAGCTCAGAGCAGGTTGAGAGGCTGAGAAGCAGATTGCTTGAAATTCGAGGTCTCAGCAGAGCAAATGCTTGGGGAGCTGGGCCTCGAACTGGAGCTGCACGATGCCCGACAGGCCCGACAGAATGCTGCAAAGTGCCGCAATTTCAGCGAGTCGCGGAATTCATTTCAAATTGTGCAACTTTTCCAGGAATGGAGAGGCCATGACTCGGTGGCAAACCTCATAGATGCAGAGGCTTGGTCAACATAAGGCTGATTTCCCTGACACCGATGGGCGCTGAGGTGAGACCGCCTCTGCGCGAATGCCTCGATCAGGTGCATTCGCAGCAGTTGACATCAGTTTGTAGCTTTCACTGTTGCGGCGGTAGCACTAGGAGAAACTTCACGTGCAGATTGGAAGGTTGCATCGCTGCTGCATGCACTGTCCAATAAGCTGACGCAGCAAGAGGAGGCAGCCGGTCACAGCTCTTGTGCAGCTGTGTACACCTTGCGCCGCATTAAGGCATTACATCATTCTGTCACTTCGGTGATCACCTTCTTCCTTGGACTGGCTCGGAAACAAGAGCTTCTAAAAAAGAGAGTCGAAGAGTTCGAGGTGAACTACAACGGTGAAGTTGAAGACTGTGAGAAGGATTTTGAGGAGACTTGCGAAAGAAATGAGAACAAGATGCAGGACCTGCATGCAGCGATTGATGACGCCGCCCATCACGAAACGTTGGACGAGCTAAAGCAGAAGACATTCGACCACCTGGATCAGATGGCGGTCGGTTACCGCGACCACGCAGACCAGATGCTGCAAATCCACAACCGATACCCAGGTGAAGCCCAAGACTTGATTCGGCGAGAAACTCGTGGGTACTGCAAGGACCGCCGCAAGACCGTTCTGAAAGATAGGAACTAGAACAATCAGAGAAACTTGGAGGACCTTGGCCTGGCTTTGGATCCAGCCGAAGAAGCACCAGCACTTGCTGCTGAGAGGAAAGCGGCCGCGGCCGCATTGGAAGAGGAGGCCATAGCAAAAGCCAAGGCAGGTGACGTTCTGTGTGAGTTTTCTTCGCAACGTGATGTGAAAAACCTTCACTTTTTGTTTGAAGGACGCCCATCCCGCTGCAGCTGACGAAGACGAAGCGGCAAGAAGTGGACGACTGGAGCTTTTGGCAGCTGCCGTGGAAGCAGCAAAGGCAGAAGTGCAGCAGGCGCCTAAAAACATCAAAATATTATTTCGTCAAATTCTTTGAATTGCTGGTTTTAAGCAGTTAACGTTGACTTCCCTTTCAAATCCTTTCAGGCTGCTGAGGCAAAGGAAGCAGCGGCTCTGGAAGCGGAAGCGCAGCTTTTTGCTGGCCTTGAAGAGAAGAGCGAGTGGACACCGGGTGAAGGCACAGGTTGCAGAGTGCTTGAGAATCTTGGCCTCGAGGATTTGCGAGGTCAGATCTTGCAGCCTCCGGAGCCAGAGCCGACGGAACCTGATGCTGGCGCAGCTGGCGGAGCTTCAGGAGAGCCTGTAGAAGGCGAGTCCATGGACACAGAGCCGAAGTTTGCAGATGGCACGGATGCGCTGGACACGCTGGCCTTTGACAACAGTTGGTTCGAAGAAAATCTATCATCCCTGCGAAGCGCAATTTTCGAAAATCTGGCGGGCCAGAAGCGTTACCTGGATCGCGTCGACATTCCGGCAGCTTGTGAAGAGGTTCGACGCGATCTTGACCAGAGGCTGCGCCGGCACACCAACCGTAAAGGAGAAGTGCAGGCGTGTTTGAGCTATTTTTGGGCTAGCGTCCACCTGAATCATTGACACTTTGGCGCCAGCTCCTGCGGATTATTCTGAAGGTTGAATGGTACGTGCCACGATACAGCACTGTGTCCAAACACAAGGCAGGAGGAGGCTACCGTTTGCGGTTTTGCGAATCCTGCAAATAGCCGTGCCATGGCCGTGCAGGACAAGTTTGAGAGACATCTGGTGCAGGCACTGGCTACTTTCTCTTAGCGGATTCAGATTCTTAAGCTCTCAGCTTCTTGAGACCACAGCAGAACCGTTGTGATGCAGGTGGCGCAGAAATGCCAGGATCAAGACGACGCTGTGGAAGCAACTTTCGAGGAGAACCAACTGCATGCTTTCCGTTGTAGTGAGGTTTACCAGAGGCGTAAGCGATGCAGCAACATGCAGCAACGTCAATCAGGAGATCGACGTTGCAGAAGAACAGCTGTGCACCCAGCTGTTTGCAGGGCACTTAACTTTGCATAGCATCGTATTTTCAGGTTCAAGCAGCGGGTCGCCCACATACAGGCCAAACCAGATACTAGCACAAGAAAGAGGGAGGAACTGCTGCTGGCAGGAGAATTTGGGGGATGCAGAACACTGAGTTTCCCAACATGTTGCTCCTTTACATCACGGTGCCGTCCCGATGACATCAGACAGCCAGCCAGGCAGAGACTTTACCAGTACTTACTTCGATGGAGCGACAGGCGGGGCTTCGTTTGCAGTTGCATGCGTTGCCGAGTGTCTGCGTGCTCAGGCTGGGGACTGCATGTCGAGCTTCAAGGAGCTGTGCCGGTCCGCTGTGCGGAAGTTGCGGAGCTCAGTTTTTTTTTCTTCTGCTCTAATAATGTATTCTCAAAGACCCGTGCTGAAAGAGACTCCACGCAACCTGCAGCTACCCCTCTTTTCTCACATTGCAAGAAACACGGCATGGCAGCATGAGTTGGAGCAAGCAACGTACCAAGCCTCTCCAGGGCAAGGCTAGAACCGGGTGACATGCCCAGGGAGCCCGGCAACAATGCAACGAGGCTCCGGCATGGCCGAAGGTTGGGGCTCGACAAAAACAACAAACATGAGATCACCATGCAATGAATCGATGAATCGGAAATAGTCGGAGGTGTGAACATGCCGAACCATCTGAAGCGGTTTGTCCAGCGTGGATGGACGAGATGCTGAAGAAAGGGGCTTCTGAGGAGGAAGACGATGGACACTGCCTCTTGTGCAAGGTCCACAAAAGGACAGACTTGATTTAGAGTCGGATTTGAAAATCACGAAAGCTAGCCTCTATCATAGTTGAGCATCTTACCAACCAAAAGGCCAAGGGGTGTGTTGGGGACCCCGGCTGATTGGTCAATCTGTGCGGCTTTTTGAGCTAGGGGAGGGATCAGGCCGAGGCTAGTGCCTTTCACAAGCCACAAAAGGCTGTAAGAGAACTGTCAAAGACTAAGGCCCAAAAACAAAACCAGATAGGAGCCACGAATCCGAATGCAGACAAGTGTCACGAACATGCAAGGATAAAAGACCAGACGCGCGCGACGCTCAACGACCGTAAACCCTAAACCCTAGATATTGGTGTGTAATCGGCTTTTGCACCAGAAGCGGTCAAGTCGTCAGTGAAATCCTGATGCTACGGTGTCGTTATCATGACGTTGATGCGAGTCTTCTTTAAATCAGCGATATTAAAGACATGTTTGCCAATGCGCTCGCATGATATGCATATATGTGTGCACAAGCGGCGCTCAGCGATCGTGCGTCTGCTCACTCGTAATCGGCGACCTGGCAGAGAACGAAGGAATCAGTGACATTTCCACTGCAGAATACCGAAGCAGACAATTCCAATCCGTGCCTGCTCCACAGTGAAGTCTCCGGAGCCTCGCATGGACGTCGTAGCATGCAAGGCTAGTCGCGACAACGACGAACTTGCCTCGCGCCGGAGTCATTGCATCCCAATGCGAACCTGCCAAGGGAGAGCAATTTGATCATGGTCGTTAGTACAGTTACGTCGTGTGACATCATGATGAGGTGTGGCGCTGCCCAAAGAACATCATTCCGAAGCTTTTATCTTGCTGCACACACGAACAAAACTCACGTTGGGGTCCGAGCCTCCAAACCTAAACATTTCAATGCTACGGAAAATGCCTCACATCCTTTTCGGATCCGTGCGAGGCCTCCTTGCATGAGCGCGATCTCACTCACGAGCCGGTGGGGTGCACATGTGAACTCCACGGCAGAAAATGCGATCACATCGAGTACAAAGTGGCGTCCGTGGACCACGACACCACTGTTCACTTGGCACTTGATCGGATGCAAAGCACAGGGCGCCATGGAGCCCGTCGTAGTAACATCCTGTCTTGAGACCACAATCCACGCACGGTTGGAAAAGGTCGTCGTGCTCCCCATGGCGAGTGCCTGCAGACCCACTAAATTTGCCGTGGGCGTCCCCCGCTTGCATCGACAACAAAGTACAT